AGCTTTTGCAGTACTTCAGCGACCTATCACGATCTAGTCTAAGCCAGTATAACATATGAAGCCGAAGCTGAAATCGCTACAGCCTCCAACTTTCTCAATCGACTAACGCGGAAAGAAATTTAACCGATCGTCTGCGCATACAACACACTCCGGCTTTTTCGTTGAAATTTTCTGAAACATACCTTACAACATTAACACAATACCTATTGAAACTGTTACCTCTAATATATGCTCGATCATTTCAATACATTTACTCTATATATAAAATACACATATTTATTTTATATATTTTTTTACATATATATATATATATATATATATATATATATATATATATATATATATATATATATATATATATATAACAGTTTATTTGAGACAAAACTAGCGAGCTCATAGATTTGTTTATTATGTTTTACATTTCTCATTTCCATTTTTACCGTACTTTCTCTCTAGTCCTGCATTTCTCTACCAATCTTCAAGCCTCGAGCCTTACGTCGGCTTGTTCACTGTTGAAGTTAGTTACTGTCCGCTTGTGTGTACTACGATTCAAGATCAGTACGCCAAGAGACTAATGAGGTAATATCAATGATATATCCTAATTGAACGTTCTACATCAACGTGTGCGTAACTTAGTAGTACTATTTATGTTAATTCAGTTCCGAATGTGCTAACCTGTTCACCAAATTCGATTCCATAATGCCTGCAAAATCTCATCATCATTGTTACTTTAAGGTGTTGCTAGGTCGATGCAATATTCCGAATAACCAAGTTTAAAATAGATCTAACAGAACGGTTTCTTAAATTAAGGAGCTACCTTAAAATCCAAGACCGGTGTGACACTGAACCATAATATTATAGACACAACGTAAAATTAATCATTTAATTTAGGTCAATGTATGTTTTCCATGTAAAAACATTAAGTGGCTATATTTACGGTATCGGTTGATATTGTAAATATAGCCACTTAAATGTCGTCGGTAAGAAAGAATTCAGAAGAAAATGTTCCGGGTATGGGCCTTTTGCCTGTTTGTGCTCTTATCGCATGTATGCAAAAAAATGGCATGAAATATCATGAACTTACTATATTAATAATTTCAATATGAGCCATCCTTTCAAGGTTCCAAGGGTGTTCTGACTTGGCCATGAAAATTTGAAGGCAAGTAGAAATCGTAACAAAAGAGAAACAACCTTCGCTGAATGTTAGTCGGGCATAGATTTGTTAACCGAATTTTTCTATGGCTTCGGCATCGTTTCAGCATTCTTGTTTGGGTGGCCCAATAAACGATGTGAGAAAAATGCTGACTCGGTTTCGTCTCGTACTTTTGTGCTCTCTCCTTCCACTTTTACCCCTCTCTCCCCCATATCTCTCGTGCTCACGTTCGCGCTCAGGCTTCGAGTACGAAAACGCTGGGGTGTTCGCCTATAGAATGCCTTTCTTCGCCTGCTTCAATCCGTGGACCCCGAAGAGCGATCTGTCGTCCGCGGCCGTCTAAATTGGCCAAGATTAGCTTCCGAATACTTAGCGCCCAGATCACAAATCTGTTGCTTTTTTAGAGTTAGCGAGTAAGTAAGTAACTCGCACTTCTCTGGTTTGTATCGTCTCTGGAGAGTGTCCAACGAATGAGGCGAGACGTCACAGAGCGATCCCTGACAGATTCGCCTCAAAGGAAGAAAGCACGGTTCTAGCTGCAGACTGTCAATCTCAAACGCGTTTGAATGTTCACTTGTCTCATAAACTACCTCAATGAACTTCCCTCGTTATTTCTATCCACTGCGCCCGCCAATACTGTTGTCCACTAAGCTGCCTGGCGTGCATTTGCTGTAAACATTATATAAATCTAGAGTCTTTTAACGGGACCTCTCGGCCAAATCTCTGTCATTCGCGGCACATGGGGCCGTCATTTAATATATCAGCCCGAAAATGTCATTGACTGTGCCCTGTATTTAGATAAATAAGCATAGAGCTATAAAGTAACGCCACACATTCGTTAACATTGACTAAGCGGTCTATTATTTTGTAAATGAATAAGCCAACTCCCTCCTAAATTTTTCAAGAAGACTGTACATTTTGAAATAGTAACCTTGTACATACCTTCAACGGCACGCAAATTTCCCAACAGTCACGTTCAGCTGGGAGCTTTGCTAACCTACAATTAACACCTACGTAGTTTTTATCCTGCATTCTTTATGCCGAAATTAATCAAGTTGCAAGATGATTCCTTTTTAATGGCGATTAGGATTTTTTTTTTCATCAAAACACACCAAATAGCTAGGGCAGAAGCTGGCATTTGTCTGTAACGATTCTATCACAGTGGCGGTTTAAAACGATGTTTTATTTAATAAATAAATGTTTAAAATAGGCTTAAACGACAGTCTTCGATATCTGAAATTGACGCCCGTCGAATAAATAGAACATTTTGAAGCTGCTGTCTATCAAGAGACAAAATAGATACGTGTGCTTCAATGAGTTTCGTTTCATAGTCAAGTGGTCTTGTCTGAAGAAAATAATTAAAACAAAAAAAAAGAAAGCTATATAACTTATAATATAATAATAAGTAACTTTTTCCAAGCTTATCAGTCCCATCTTCAACTCACCCAGTACGATCTGCAGTCATTGACGCATTCACGTAAGTGAAGTAAGTTTCGTCACGTGGTTACTGGATGGACTACGTGCACGTTCGTCCATAGCACTTTCTCTAACCAACTTAACCTGACTACACTCGTCAATTGCCGACAAGAACGCCGAGAGGACGTCGTTGGCTTCCGCGAAACCTCTGAGCCAAACCGGCTCTATGGTAAGTGTCCTCCAAGAGCTGCCACTTTTGGGCTCCCCCGATGAGCTTTCGACGTGCTGAGGCCTCTAGTTATCCTCCTAGTTATCGTCCTAGCGCGTCGGCTGAGTAGACAACATTAGGTTACGCTAGTGGAGTAAAGTTAAAGGCTCGCCGTACGCTAGCTGCGTGTCGCGCGTCATATTGGCCCCGCTTTTTATGATTGCTGAGACTACCGTTTGGATCCGTCTATCTCTGACGCCATCTCGCCTAATCAAGGCTCTCCGACACGCGCCTCCAAATATCCCTCATCCCCCCAAAAAACCCTATATCATACACGGTGGCACCCATCAGCAAAGCAACGTTAGGCAACAACAGAGGCAATAGCAGCCATTATGAAACAGAAGGTCGGAGCCTTCTGTAGACAATGAGTAGGCGTGTGTAAGGTTAAGCTAACAGGAACGAATAACGCGACGGTACAAACAACAATGATGGCGGCCGACGAAACTGTAGTTCTTTTTTATACCACAAACTCGCTAGCGGCCAGGAGGTTCGACGGCGTCATCCCTATATGGACCCGTAGGAAACTTGCTATCTCAAGGCCCCGGTCTGGAACTGGCCCCAGCAGCAGCAGCAGCGGCGCAGAGATAAGCTGGCTGACCTATGTTTGCGTTTAAATATTCGGGTTGTCGAGCTGGCTGTATCTGCCGAGAAGCCGCTGTGTATTGTCGTTGTGCTAGAGTTGAGAGCGCGCGAACGTACGCTTGTATATCTATGTCTGTGCGTCTGTATGGAATTTATGTGTTCATGTATACGAAAATGGGAGACGGCGCTTGATAGCAGAATAGTGATGGCGGCGCTGCTGGCGATAGCTTCGGGGTGACATTTTCATTATTACCATCACTGCAGTCACTAGCACCATTATCACGATTTTGCCCGCTGCTTATTCGTCTCATTACTTCTTGTTCGCTCGCTATCCTCGGTTAGATAAGCAGATCACCGCCTACCCCTTTCAGGTATTAAATTCGTCGCACGAAGTACTCTGACACAGCCAACTCAAAGCTAAAGCGTTGATAGCTTGTGTAACTCTTCGCGACAGGGAAAGCTGTTTCAGATAAAAACTCTGTGGCCTATGGAATTGTTATGCATGCATCTTTACTGAGGATTCGACTATATCCATGACCGAAATTTTTAACTCTTAAAGTGTTTTTTTGCATGAAAGCGCAATTTAACCTGGAGTAGCCATGCCTTATAATATCAGCAAATCTATATTATTTTCATAGTTGACGCTATGTAAATAGCTTCATTCTTAATAATCGTGACCTTATAAATTATATATGACGTTTATTTTGTCTTGCCTGTTTCATGGATACCTGTAAAGGACAACCGACTGTACGTGAAACGGGAAGTTTTACAATTTTTAACAGCTTCTGACGCTATTATTTAGACGGGTATTCCACAACAGTCATTTTAAAACATGAGCAAAAAGAATTTGACCACCTTTCTAGCCGTCAGTTCGCACCGGTCGTCAAGTTACGATTGATTTCGGCATACGTAGATTCTTTCATCTATCACTTATATGCAAACAGTTTGTTCTCTATTTCCTTCATGCTCGTCTGTTTTCGGCCGACCGACGATTCCCAGGGAAAGCGGGTATTTTTCGAAGGTGGCCAAGAATATCACAATCGTCGTCACGTCGCCATCTTCGTCTTCGTTCTTTCATAAGCTGACTACTGTCAGTCGGTCGAGCCTTTCGTGTTCCATGCTTGTTCTAATCCACCGCTTTGGCGCCTGCTCCATTGCCCATCTGGACGACGTTTGCCCGTAGATTCATTTGATGAAATAGACACGTCGCATCGTATAGCTATAGAGCTCGTCGATCCCCTCTATTACCGTTGCCTCCGCTGGCGGCGGCGGCGGCGGCGACGGCGCCGCCACAAACCGAGTAAATACCTTCAAGGCGATAACAGAACGATGTGCCACTCCCACGCGAAGTGGAACTAGAAACCCAACAACAGCAACGGCAATAGCAACAACATGCAGCGTGATTCAACAAACGGTTACCCCAACGTCAGCAGTCTTAACAACAACAGGACAGTTCTGGTGAACTAAATGCTGCCGACACAGCGGAGCCAGCGGTATTGTTTAGGTTAAAATACAAATTGCTAAATATTTTCGGCCGCCTGATCGCTTGCTTATTCGTGCTTGTCTGTCGGTATAGAAAAGCTGTACGCCGTTCTGCTTCATCGTCCTGACGGTGTCTGCTGATGAGTTGAATCTCTAACTGAAACCGCTGTCATCATCCTGTTTCTCAGGCTAATTCACAGTGCATGCTGTGCACTTTAAAGATGTTTTTATTTTGTTGAGGAAAACAACATATTTAAAGTTTAGAATGTGTGATAACTGCGAGTAAAATATAGTACTGTTCTTTTATTACATATGGTTAAGACACGATTCGTGCTGTAAGTAATGTGCATAATAATAATGCATCACCATAAATGTCGTCACAGTTGGCACAACTTTTTATAGGCATCAGCTATTTGTATCACTTATCTGCTATACACCTAAATAAGTGTAATTTTAGCCAAATTAATATGGGTGAACAGAAAAGCCGCCCAAAATGAGAGCCGGGCTACTTTATTTAATAGAGATTTGACAACAGAGCTTATGAAACACAAACAATATGAAACGTACAAACGACGCATATGTGCACACAAACAGGTCTGCTTTTATTTACGAGAGGACCCATACATTCTCGGATGGAAAAATGGCATGTTGATTTGCAAACGTGATGATTTTGTCATCTTGGTCATGATGGTCAGGAACATCTTGAAAACTTAAGAGATAGTTAACCTGATTTTTTCGAAATTTGTCCAGTTAACATATAACGTTTTTCAGCGCTAAAAATGGTTTTACACTCACGACACAAGCTTAATGACGTAGTACTATTGCTGAAATTGTTGCTATCTAGAAGCTAATTATTTCAGTATTTTCTAGGAAGAAATGGCGATGGATAAAGTCTCATCTTGGCAACGTGGAACCAAATAGGATAGATGTAATTATAACGTTAACGATTAGAAAACTAAACATAGACAATTTCGATCTGTTGTAGTATATTATAAACTACGTTGTAATTTACCTAATGACGAGCGTACACTGGTGGTCGTATGAGAAGTGATTAATTTTACATACTGCTACAAAATACACTTACTACCAACTAATTTCGAACTCCAGCAATAACAAAATAAACAACGAAATTATCAACTACTGAAACGATCGTGGCATTCTGCAGGTCTTGCACGTAGCTTCTAGCAGAGGGTGAAAGCTAGAATTTACCGTTTTCAGCTTCACGATTTACCCTGGCTATTTCGTCGGCTTCGTACTTCGGCTTTTTATATTGTATTTTACCGCGTCGCTCATCCAGCATCCGTTTCCGGTTCGTCTTATCGAGCCTTTTACGTCGTTCTTTTCTTTCAAGATTAACTTCTGGGTTAAGCACTTTTTCAACAGCTTTACTTTGTTTACGATGCGCCTTAATACGAGCCAGCTCGGTTAACTGGCGAGCATAACCTTCTTGGTATTGTTCAAAACCCATTTCACGACGAATTACATGTGACGCGTCCTTTACGAGCTGATAAAAGTCTTGATCTGTAAGGTCAAATTATGTGTTAACGTAATATTTCGCGTTTTTCTTTTCGTGTATACACATGCTCTGTCAGCTTGGTCGTGTAGCAACATTGAGATGTAAAAGAATAATTATCTGTTAGGTTTTATGGGGTAAAAAATCGTGTCTGTTGATCGGAGCTTCCAATAACGGGAAACGTACGCGCATTTTATAAATCTGCAAGGATGCGGGGGAGCAAATTGAACCTACCTTTTGCGGTGGATTCTAGATCACGCACCAGTGGGCGAAGAAAATTGTGGCTGTAACACTGCAGGACTTCTCGTGGACATTCAAGCGAGAGAGCCGCCAGAAGCTTGTATAAACACGTCCGCTAAAATGAGCCAATGTATTTGAAGTTGTTTTATACGCAACATAGGTACGGAGATTTAGAGTAGTACAGAAACACTAGAAGATAAGAGAGCAATTTGCCTTAGTATGTGAAAAACTGAATGGAGATATCGGTCTCGGAGGCGTTGCCTTAAAGACTATTTCTCACCTTACAGTGAACTATTTAGATCTTATTTGACAGGAAAAGAAGTCGTGGTATTATATATTCTCATCAGTTTCATTTTATGATAGCTTTATGTGTTACCTTTTCATAGTTGGGTGTTCGGTTGTTCACTCTTAAAACCCGCAACTCTTTCTCGATCTTGAAAACAAACCAGCCAAAGGTGCGATGGTCACTTTGGCCGCATTGATTATTGTCACCTTCCGTTTGCTCTCTGCCATATTCAAATTCACCTGTGCTCTCATCATCCTTTTTCTGATTTTTATCACTAGCATCCTTTGCTAGCTTTCTATCTGTCTTCTCGGATGTTCCGTGGCTTAGATAAAGAAGAACCTGAAGGGACAGAAGTTGTCATTCTTTTACGTACTAGTACAAATGCTATGCGTCTACGCGGTTCGGAAGATCAATTCATTGGCACTTTCATCAATGACCACTCGTTTCTAAGTAGGCAATCATATGAGCACTCTGAAGTATATTCAGCAAAAATAATCGAATTTGCGTTCGAATCATCACTCAAACAAAATACACGCAAACAAAAGAGATAGAAGACAATTTATTTATCATGTACACAAAAGTACCGTTCCTTCCAGTTGATCCCGTTTATATTATATTAGATTTGAAGATTCTACCACCACACATTCGCAAGCATTACCTAAAGAAAGAAAAATCCTATACAAACCTTCCCAACAAACAGCAAGTTCTTGACGAGTTGATCAAGCAGGTCGTTTGGTACTTGTCTGCTTTGGAACTGTTCTAAGAAGGATATGACTAGTTTGTCGATAAGGGACCGACCTCCGCAAGGCAACCAGTCACCGGAAAATGCCTCTCTCTGTTTATTAGAGCTACCGCTTTTTTCATCTTTACAGATAGTTTGCGCCAGTTTCCGTGGTTCGTACCTGGCGAATAGTAAACCAAATATCCTTGATGCGGCGACCCTCACCCACGAATGTGGGTAAAGTAGATGCGCCTGGCAGGATGACATTAGGGAAGAACAGATAGCACGATGTGCTGGAGTTTCTGACTCAAGTAGGCGAACATGCGAAAGGATCTTGATTGTACTGTTCCAAATGAGGTACACCAGACGATCTTGCTCTCGTTCATTGTTCTCGACTTCGCAGTCTATCTGAAATTTGAATAACCAGATAGGCAATATAACAGGTGCATTATGCTCCTAATTCACGTGTGATCAGAATATCATGGAAACAGCAAGTATATGCTCCCTCGATTCTAACTGAAAAGCTATGATGGATGTATCGTCGTTACATTACATACATTTGGTTTAAATTTCTTGAGATAAAATAAAAAGGCTGAGTAGTAAAGCAGTTTGAAATTGAGGTTTATAGATAGGTTTCTCCCTCCCTACTTCCCCCTTTTCTCTCTCTCTCTTACACATATATATATATATATATATATATATATATATATAATTACCTGATCAGCATCGTCCTTCGCCTTTACGAGCTTGACGAATATGTTCATTAAATCATCAACTCGAATGGCAAATTGTTCTTTTTCGACCTCTGCGAAACAGCCGATAACTTGAGCACCAAGAAACTGTTTTTGTACCTTTGAAACGTCTTGCAACCATTTTTTAGCAAGCGCGTAAAGCGATGTTCGGCTATTATTATTAAGCTTTTCTAAGAACGCCTTCAGGCAGCCATAACACATCTTCCGCATAATTACCGAACCATCATTTACCAAACTCGCTGATAATGGCACAAAGAAGAACAAAGCAGATTTCGCCAAGAGGTTCTGCAATAGAATCAAAAGTA